TGAAGTGGTAGGTAGATGCAAGATAAAGGTAGAAAACATAATTTAGTACTGTAAGAGGGCAAATGTAGATGATCAGGTCTGTGCCTATAGACTAAGTATTAATCCAAGCTAGACAAGGGCAACAAAGCATCCACGGATGTAGAAGATTTCTGTCAGAGGGGGTGAGGTTCTAAGCCTCACCTCTGTTGATCCCCAGTTCCTCACCTGATGGCCCCCCTGCGACTGTGCCTGTCTTAGGTTGTTCCTCCCTTGAGGAATCTTACCCATCTCTGGCTAACCAGAGGATAACACCCTGTTTATCTTAACTCTATCTCCTAGCTCCTAGTAGCGCTGAAATTCTCATCTCTTCTGTCCATCCTCTGTAAGCATATATCTGGGCTGAGGTGACACTTTCAAAAATTGTTCTTCCATGGATTCAACCCTTTGAAGGTTCAGTTCCTTGGAGAACCCTCTGTTTAAAACCATATACAGCCTAAAAAATAATTTATGGTGTCAAATAGAGACAAGAGGAAGGCTGTCTTTAAACCAGCTCCTGTTTGGGGCCCTAAATCTGTAGCTACTCTGTCATCTTCTTGTTCTCTTTATTAGGCTACAACTGTCTGTTCTTTCATAGTATAAGCGCCAGGTGAGAATTACTTTGTGATCTAGAGGACTGGGAGTAGGAGGAAGAGTCCCTTTCAATTGGCAGACATAATTAGTGGAGTCATCTAGGCCTTAACTAATTAGGAACAATTTATCTTCCACGTTTCTTTGTCAAGTAGGGAAAGCTGTAAGCAGAAATTACCAGCTGGGTTTGGTCATCAGTAAATGGTTGTCTGTCCCAGAGAAGCTTGAATAGAACAGTTGAGACTTTCCCCCTAGAACCCTATCCCTTCCATTCACTGGATTGGTCCAGTGCTAAAACTAAGCAGGAGAGTTATTGAGGATCCTGTCTTTCTTTTGCCTATTTGGGAAGGAGAGTGCTAGAGTAACCTCCCACTCATCCTCCCCAGTTAGGTACTAGACTCTGCATGTAGGATAAGGGGTCTGGATCCCTCTGGATCCTTATCTGTCTTAGTTTAGTCTTCTTTTGTGATTGCCAAGGGGGCACTATTGGGTAAGAGGAATAAGCATTGTTGGGGGTCAGGAGACAGATTTTGGTAAAGTCTGTTAACTTTTGTGGGCCCGTTCCTTCCTTTACGTAATGAGGAAGTTGACATAGAGCAGTTTCTTTAAGCAACATGACCCTTTTTTCCAGATATCTTATGTGGAACCCCAGTACATGAGGCATAAAAGTAGCTCTGCTCTGGTTCAAGTGAGGCTGTTATGTGGAGGCCCAGCCACTTGGTGTGTCCTCTTTGCCTTCCTGGGGACCCCTGAGACATTCTTAGGGCTCCTGGCAATACCACTTGAAGTAAATCACTGAACTTCATCCCCTAAAGTCTCCTGGAGCTGTAAGTTAAGTCAGCTAGTGTCTCCTTTTGTCTCTTTCTAAAGCCACTAGGGATGTGGGGGTAAAATCTCTGCTGCAGGTGATCGTCTGTGGGAAGGATGGAATCAGGCTTGTCCAGAAAACTGTGATGGTCACCAGCCTTCCATCCATGAGAGGGCTTTCTTCTTGGTGTCTGCCCCTTGCATTTACCAACCCTTTCACCCACAGAGTTGGGCAACATCAGTGACTCTCCCTCTGGTCCTTTTTTTTCATGATGGCAGAGGTGCTGGCACCTGATTTGAGTGGGAGCAGCCTCATGATTTGGGGCATTCATTGAACAGTGGTAGTTCTTTTTACTTCCCACGTTTCTCATCCAGGAATAGGGGCCCAAGGCCTACATCTTGCACTCAACTGCTTGAAAGTCTTGGTAAGACATGACAAATCAAGTGTTTAAGAGAAACTTACCCACCTAGAAGGGAAGAGGTTGTTTTCCTGTGGAATCGCGAGGATCCCCAGGGGCAGGAAGTGAGATCTTCGTTCTAGCCTTGCTCAGCAACAAGGAGCACAAGTCAGACACTCGTGCTGTGTGCTGGCATGGGTGGAATGAAGAGACCTGTTCTTTAGTAGTTTAGGGCCTCTAAGTGTTTTTGAATCTCAGATGGGGGAAGTGGAATTAAGGATAAAGCTGGAGCTGGAATGATAATTGATGGTGATGGTGATAATTAATGTTTTTTCTGTGCCTTTTCTATCCAGTGAATGCTCAGTATTAAACCAGCTGGTTTAAAAAGAACTCCAGGATCTTTTCAAACATTGTCTCCTCTTTCTCATGTCTGAGTTACATAGCTGAAGTGACAAACTGGGGGTTTTACCTGTGGCTTACCTAAGGTTATTGTAGCAAAGTGTTAACTGAGACAGGATGGAAATCCAAAGCTGGTTGACTTCTTTGTTTTTCTTAGCAGGACCTTAACCGTTTTTTAATAATAGGAAATGTTAGGGCTGGGAAACAGATTTTCAGGCGTGTGGGTACTGAAACCTACTCTCCCAATTTTTCTTTGGCCCTGAAACAGGAATGCTGAATAGGTGGGCAGAAGAACCTGTTCTTCCTGGGACGGTACAGAGCTGGGAGTCCCATCAGTGAGTCAGCCAGCCTTCTGGGCTGCGGCCGCTCCCTGTGCTTTGGACCTCTATGAGGGTTGCCATAGGCTGGGGACGAGCCCCAACAGCTCCTCCTCAACTCAGGCCTCATCTCCTTCCATCAAAGGCAACAGATTCAGACAGGCCACTTGGGGTGGTCACCAAGGAATCTGGCCAGAGTACTGTAGCAACAGCCTGCCTTTCCTCAAGCCAAGCAGAATGTGGGACATAGCAGGAATGGGCTCTGCTCACACACGCCTGTCCTTGGTGGGGTGTTCTCTCAGCTAGAGTGCTAGGGGTGGAAGCACTTGGTCTTAGATTTGAATTGAGGAACAGTGCTGCCTGTGAAGTTGAGTTATTTGCATCATGTCTAGATTCTGCCACTCGGCGGGTAAGGCTTTAGTTTGGAACAGGTATTGGAACTCCATTCTAGGATTACATACTTCTGCTGGGATGGGTTGATATCAAGAAGGTTGTAGGGGTAAAATTCATTATCCAGGGGTAGGTGGTTGGCAGGATACCCAAGAAATTGGGTGATTCCTTTGTTTGGAAATGCCAAAACCAAAGAAAGAATGGGGTCAGAAAGATTGACGTCTGAGCCTGGTGTTTCATTCTCATTCACCTTAGTTCCCACAGGGATGGAGGTAACTTATTTTTTCAGAAGCTCAAGAGGCCACAGTAGCCAGTTCTAGGAATAAGACTTTAAAATCATGGGCACCTTGGTGTTCTAAGGATTTAATTTCTTTTTCCCTTCTAATTATCTTCCCAGGCTGTAGGAGTCAAATGAGTCACCCTTTCTCCTCTTCCCTGGGCGGAAATCGAAGCGACAGCTCAGTGCTAGGGAGGGGCTCTGACCTGGATGACTGGTTTTCAGTTTCTCGCCCGCCCTCCTCGGGAGCCTCAGTCAGGCTTTGGGTGCGGCTGGGTGAGGGCTCTTCTCACTTGTGTTCCACCCCAAACCCTTCAACAGTAAGGGGGCAGCTTTTCGGAACCAAAGAACTCCCAGAGGAAAAGGCCTCCCTGGGAGACTTGGACAGAATTAACCAAGACTGTGCTGAAGATCTTTTTTGCCCTTGAAGTCAGTGCCTTCATTCTAGCTTCATTATTTTGTCTCCCAGTTATGTACTGGCCCATCAAGAGAAGCAAAGAGTTAATTGATACTATCTAAAAAGCCTAGCACTTAATATTTACTTAAGGTTTTTTTTTTTAATGAATGGCTAAATGGAATTTGGATAAATGGATGGTGCTGGTAAAGACTTGTGAGGTGCTTTTTGGCAATAAGTTTTGTCTTTTATTAGTTTGTTTATATCTCAATGAGCTGGATTCCTGTGAATTATCTTGAATCACTGTTCAGGACTATGCTTTTTGTTTTTTGTTTGATGGACACAGATTCTTAATACAGGACGGCTGTGGATTAATTTTCCAGACTCATTTGCTGTCTTGTTCTCCTGGCCCCTTCTTCCTTTCCTTCAATGAACTCTTCCTTTCCTTTGGGTTGGTCTTGAGGAAGGGGGGCAAAGACAGATGCTGTCCTAATTTTGGAGATTAAGTTCTCAGCCACAGAGCAGATTTAGGGTATTTAGCTGTTGTCTTGTAATGGGAAGTTCTTCCGGAGCTGAGACTGGAGAGAGGGTGTTTGATGCTATGGACAGAACAAAGCAGTAGTAGGCACATCACATATTCTGAAACTTCCAACTCTGAGGAAATCACCAGAAAAAGGAAGAGCTCTTGTGGCATTCCTACGTAGGATCAGATGCTGATGGAGAGGGAGGGTAGTCCTGGATTGGGTACTCTTTTTTGGTCAAAAGTTAACCTAACATATTTCTTGAGTTGGATCCTGTGGGGTACTGGATATGTTTGGCCAGTTGCTTTTTCCTACAGAATTTAGGGCTGCTTTGGTCTGATGTCTTCCCTTTTTTCTGCCCCATGCTTCTGCTTCATTTATAGACCCCAAGGGGTCTAGTTCTTTGTCTTGATATTCATCCTTATCTGTTTGTGTTGTGGGTTTTTTGTTCTTGTTTTTTTTCTTTCCCCCTCCCTGAAAACTAGCCTCTTGATGAATACAACTCTTGGAATATTTGATGCAGTGAAGAAACTTGAGGCAGTTGAGAGTGGTTCAAAGCCAGGTGGGAAGAGGGAAGGATACCAGAAAGGCAGGTGGTATCGCATGCTTTGGGCCAACTTGCAGGACACTGGGGCATGGCTGGGATCCAGAAGCCTCAGGGTGCTCCAGGGAACGGATTGTAGCTGGTGTCAGTTACATACTCAGTATCTAGCTCATGTGCCTGGTTGAAAAGGAGATAAGCACAGATTCCAAAATGTGGAAGGATCTATGGGGAAAAAATGAATCTGAAGAACACTGACCTTAGTGTAAGGGGTTATGGTAGCAGAGATTCTGAGCCTTATACATTGATCTAAAATGAGCATTATCATGGGAAACTAGATTGCTTGTTGGGAAGGATAAAGATAATTTGAGAGAGCAAAGGTGAACCACACAAGATGTATTTATAGGGAATGGGGCTGAATGTTTATAGATTTTTATACAGTTGGTGTCCAGAGTGTCGGAGACAGTCCCTCATTTTCTTTATTGTCTGTGCAGCTGTCCAGGACTAAGCCTCTATGTGTCACCTGCAGTGCCCATCTACAATGCGATTGTTTTTCTCTTTGTGCTGGCCAACTTCAGCATGGCCACCTTCATGGATCCAGGGATTTTCCCTCGAGGTAAGATCTCCCTTTCCTCTTAGTAGCTGCTTACTTCCTTGAAAAATAATGAGTTTTGGACATAATACACTTGCTCCTGGGCTTTCAGAGTCCTAGGATTTGGGGACGATATAATGATGGGCTTTTAGAGTCCTAGGGTTTGGGGATGATTTAATTCTGAAAAGCAGGTCAGGGTTCTTCAGGAATATATGTCATAACTTCTAACCATGTGTTACACTTTGGGTCAATTCTGATTTCGGTTACTTAGCAGGAATTTATTTTGAATAAATGGGTTGGGCATTATCACTAGGTACAGTAATATCTAAGGTGAATTAGCTAAAATAATGCGATACAAACTAATGGAGGCATGAACAAGGTTCTTTGAGAACATAGAAAAGGGTACATTTGTATCTGTCCAAATCAATTGGGGCAGTGCTGTGAAATGTAGCTGGGGAAGACTTGCCCAAGGAGAGGATGGAAGGAGAGGGTGTTCTGGGCAGAGGAAACAGCAAGTGCAGAGCTTGTAGTAACAGAATGCTGGATTCAGTGGGGTGACATAGAGCTCCTGGTGGGGCCAGAAGGGGCAGGAGATAAATCCAGAGACGAATTGTGAAAGATTTTCACGTGCTACATCAAACAGACTATATTTCTTCCTTCGGACAGCAAAAGGTTCTTAATTGGAGAAATTACAAGATCAGGTTTCTTTTTACAAAAATATTTTTGTGAGAATGGACAGATTCCTTTTTGGAGGCTATTGGAATAATGCAAACCTGATGAGAACTTGCATTCAAGCTGAATTTACAGATTTTTCAGAAGTAGAATTCAGTGGAATTTTCATGACTTATTCTGAGAGAGTGAGAGGGTGAATGAATGTTTAGGGTGGTTCCAAGGTTTCTAACTTGGGGAATAAGTGGGATGCTGATTTTATAAGTCAAGATAAAAGTTACAGGGATGTTGAACAGGTTTACAGGGACGATTGAGCATCTCAGACGTGTTGATTTGAGATACTTAGGGTCATTCAGGTAAGCAATACCCAGTGGGCAATTGAGTAGTTCAGTTTGAAAACCTTGGTCTCAGAGTCTTCAGCCATGTGGCATTTGAAGCAACAGGAGTTAAGATTATCTAGAGAAAATAGAATGAGATCAGGAAAGAATGGAGGTCAGACCTGCCTAGCATTGACATGTTAGTAATGAATTGAGGAGGAGGAGGACCAGAGCTATAGAAGGAGGGGTTGAACAAGAAAGGTTAGTAGGAGGAAAAGCTGGGCAAAGTATGCACTTAGGAGGCGGTGAATAGGGAGTGAGGAAGCGGAGTCAAGGAGTATAAAGATTACTCTTTCAAAAGTTAAGCAGAGAAGGTAGAAGATAAGAGTATGTTGTGGGAGAGGGAGGGCTTTGTTTAATGATACAGAAGAACGACTTTAGCATGTTGATAGAATGAGGAGATGGAATCAGAAGAGAGAAGCTGAAATTGAAGAAAGGGGTAAATTGGGAAGAGTGACTTTCTTAGAGGAAGGACGTGCTTGCCAAAGAAGTAGACTGTTGCTGGGATAGGAGGTGAGAGTAAGAAACCATCATCAGTAGAATAAGAGGTAGAATTGATGAAGGTTATTGTTGATGACATTTTTATTTAAATGTGAAGTTACCCTGTAAGAGTGAGGCAGTTGGGACTGGGATAGCAATTTTGGTGAGACAAGGTTTTTCTGAAATTCATTGTGTTTACAAAACCTTTGTCATTGTGCATCATTTCAAGACTCCTGTTTCAAAAATGAGCTGAACGGAAGGGGGCTGTTTTAATGAGCCTCTAATGTTCGTTCATCAAATATTTATTGATCTATTTGGAAGGCATTGTGGTGGTCATTTGGGATGAATTTTTTGAAAGGTCCTTGCTTTCAAGTAGCTCAGTCTTGAAGGGGAAGTAGGGAAGACAGGAATAAGTACACTGTGTGATAAGTAATCAGAGAACTCTGTAGCACTTGAAGAAGAGAAAGAGCTCATTTTTGGTAGATGTGTGGAAGGATCAGACATTTCAAAATAAGTAGCATTTGAATTTTTTTTCCTTTAAAAGGAAAACTCTTCTTAAAAACATGAAGACTTTAATAAGCAGTACATATTCATTATGTAGAAAGTATAAAAGAGACATCACCTGTAATTCAGAGATAATCATATTTTTCAGTATTTTGAAGATGTACATATGTAATAGTTATATATATCACATATCTCTAGCATGTATATATCTATTTCTGCTTTCATATGGGATCTTCTGGTTTGTATAGTTCTTTACCTTGCATTTTTTCTCTTATGCCCGCATTTCCCCAAATAAGTAAAAATGGAAAGCTAATTTTTTAACCCCTATACTTACACTTGTTTAATTTTCCCTCCCCACTGTATTTTTTTCTAGATTAATTTTTAAAAATTGCACACTGTGGATGAGAAGGCAAAAAAATGTCCTTTAAGTTTTGAAGTGGGATGGTTTCTGATAACTGAAAATTGAAGGGACATTCCGGTGTAGAGAATGTCTTGGGCCAACAGACAATATCAAAGTACACAGAATTAATGGAGTCTAGGGGAAGACCTTTTGGGTGTGGGGACTGTGAATGAAAAACAAGATTGACGTTAGTTCCTCTCTTGGATTGTTATCATTCAGTCATGTACTTGTAGGTATTGAACTATTATGTAAATTAATTTATGTATGCTTTGATATGTAAATTATTTCTTTGAAAATATATTCATAACACATAAACCAAGAATATCAGCATACCTATATCAGAGCGAACTCTAAGTCCTATTCTCTTGAACCTCATTTCTCAGTGCAGAATAAATTGCTTCTTCATCTGTGTCCCCATAGTGTTGTAGCAGATCTCACAGTGTCAGCGTTACTAGTTCCTACCCTCTTCCCACCTGTTTGACTAATTCCAGAGGCCATGTCTTGAATATTGTATCCCTAGTACAGTTCCGGCATACTGGTTTTTTAAAAGACTTTTCCTGTCTATAGCTGAGGAGGATGAAGACAAGGAAGATGACTTCCGAGCTCCCCTTTACAAAACAGTAGAGATCAAGGGCATCCAGGTGCGCATGAAATGGTGTGCTACCTGCCGCTTCTATCGTCCTCCTCGGTGTTCCCACTGCAGTGTCTGTGACAACTGTGTGGAGGTAAGAACCCTAGGTGGGGTAAGCCTTAATGTTTAACCTAAGTCGTCTTCTTACCCACAGAATAAGAATGAAATTCAGTCCTGGCTAACTGTCTGAGCTATGTATTCTAGCTCTGTCAAAAAGTGGCAATTAAGTACATTGGAGAGGTAGAGCTTAAATATTCTTCTCATGAGGAGGGACCCCAAGTGGGCATAGACTTTCCCAACAGCAAGATTCATAGCTCCAGCCTTGCATCCTTTGGCTCATCTTTTTGGTTATTTGTCCTGGCCTGCTGTTACCTCTTAATTCCACTACATCTTGTTGCATTCAGATTTTACAGTTATGTTTTCTCTTCCTGCCTGTCCTTCTGCACCCTTTGTCTTTTATTTTTGACCCTTTTTTCCAATCAGTTTTTACTTAGCTGTAAGCAGCTGCTTACCGGATTTTCCCTCCAGGCTCCTTTTTCGTGAATCTTGGCACTTTGCAAAGCCTCTGACATTTGTCCCTTTTAGAGTTCCTTGGTCACATTAGAAAAACTTTGAGAGGTGGCCTTGGCTTTTGATCAACCTCTGGAAGGTCATCCTTACAGATGGGTAGAGCAAATTAAACTACTAGCATGTTTTTTTTTTTTAATTACGGTATCATTGATATATACAGTCTTAATGAAGGTTTCACGTGAGCAACATTGTGGTTTCAACATTCACCCATATTATCAAATTCCCCCATCCCATTGCAGTCACTGTCCATCAGCGTAGTAAGATGCTGTTAGGGTCATTACTTGTCTTCTCTGTGCTGTACTGCCTTCCCCGTGACCTACCTTTATTGTGAGTGCTAATTATAATGCCCCTTAATTCCCTTCTCCCTCCCCACCTGCACTCCCCAACCCCTTCTCTTTGGTAACCTTCTGGGTAGTCCCTTCTTGGAGTCTGTGAGTCTGCTGCTGTTTTGTTCCTTCAGTTTGGCTTTGTTGTTATACTTCACAAAGGAGTGAGATCATTTGGTACTTGTCTCTCTCCGCCTGGCTGATTTCACTGATATAAGCATGTTTTTAATTTTGCACCTAAATGATGAACATGATCATAAATCACTAAAAATGACAAGTTCTGCCATTTATTCTTCTTGACAAGAGTGATCTAGGGCTGTGGTCCAAGGACTCTCAGTTTCTCTCTCTCTCTCTGCCCTTAGGAATTTGATCATCACTGCCCCTGGGTGAACAACTGTATCGGTCGCCGGAACTACCGTTATTTCTTCCTCTTCCTCCTTTCCCTGACAGCACACATTATGGGTGTGTTTGGCTTTGGCCTCCTTTATGTCCTTTACCACATGGAGGAACTCTCAGGGGTCCGCACGGCTGTCACGTATCCTTCAAGGCTTGTGGGTTGTGGGATTGGGTGGGGAAAGAATGAGGAAAGTTGAGGCCTGTGAGAGTGAGGGTCAAAGGGCAGACTGTTACAGCGTGGCTGGCCGAGACCATGTTGCTCTGTTCGCCTTGACTGTGTGGCTTCAGAATGGCAGTGATGTGTGTGGCTGGCTTATTCTTCATCCCTGTAGCTGGCCTCACAGGATTTCATGTGGTGCTGGTGGCTAGGGGACGCACAACCAATGAACAGGTATGGGGAGAAGTGACAGGAGACCCGTGTAGAGCAGGACACTTGTCTCTTAGCCCTCTGATGAGTGTATAACAGTGCTTCCAAAATTAGATGCTTAGTGAATATTTTTTATGAGGTGTCCACATTTCTCATGTATGCATGAGAATGGAAGCCATTTCTGAATGAATAAGCATTTACAGAATGGCCACTGTATACTGGACAATTTGGGCCCTGAGCTTATAGGAACAATAAATGACCTGAGCCAGCCCTCAGGAAGCTCATAGGGCTGCTTAAAGGAAAACAACTATTTTCACACATGTAATAATAGCTAACTTACGTATACTAGTTTCCAGTATTCGGAGAGCTATTTTTATCCTCATTTTAATGAGGAAATTGTTTAGGGTTAGATAGCAGCTACCTTGAGGTAGACCTAAGATTTGAACTCAGGATTCTGACTCTAGAGTTCCTGTTCTTAACCATTGCAAGTATAAGCATCTTGATGGTAGGATTGTATTTTACTCCTTTTTGTTTCTCCCAGATAGTGGGTGCACAGTAATATGCAGTTTAGCCTTTGGAGGTCAAAGGCCCATCATCTGACTGATCTGATCCTTTTTCCTTACTCTAGGTTACGGGTAAATTCCGGGGAGGCGTGAACCCCTTCACCAATGGCTGCTGTAACAATGTCAGCCGTGTACTGTGCAGCTCCCCAGCACCCAGGTATGCCTACCACTTTGGTCTGCTGTTCACCCTTGGTCAAAACTTTTATCTTCTTTGGGCTTATTGTGGGTACAGAGGAGGTCTGGTAGGAGACTGCCTTTTAGGAAGGGTTCTCTGAGAACGGGAAGTGCCTTCAGGAGTGAGACATGCCATCCTTACTGACACCTGTGAGTTCAGTTGACACACTTTAGGTAGTATGGTGACTCTCCTTTGAGAGTTGAGGGGGAGGTTTGCTCCAGAGTGCCTTGAGCTACTAGGTATTTGCCCAGAGGCGTAGTCTTAATGCAGTTCTTTATGAAATCAAAGAAAACAGTTCAGTGCTGGCCTTTTCACTGTCCTGTTAGGACTATTTCTTACATTTGTAAAAATGCTTTCTTTACATAAGATAGGCAACCAGTAAATATTTTACAATGAATGAACAGATGAATTAATGAAAGCCTTTTCACTCTTGACTCTCAGGTATTTGGGGAGACCAAAGAAAGAGAAGACAATTGTAATCAGACCTCCCTTCCTTCGACCAGAAGTATCAGATGGGCAGATAACTGTGAAGATCATGGACAATGGCATCCAGGGAGAGCTGAGGAGAAGTAAGGTGAGGAATTTAGGGAAGCAAAGCTAGGGAACTTAAGGACTGTCCCTCATGGCAAAGAGATGGAAACTTGTTTTTAAGAAGTTAACATCTCTCTTATAGTACTTACCACTTCCTGATTTATACTAAAACTACTTAAATACATATCTTTTTCTCTTTGTTAGATGGTAAGTTCATTAATAGTAGAAATTGAGTCCATTCTTTTTTTAAGTCTTCATAGGATTATGAAGCTGACAGGTGGTAGTTTAACAAGTGGCTTTTGGTGGAAATTAACAAATAAGTGACAGAATTAAACTGTTGAAACTTTTCTTTATCTGATACCATCGTCAAACTGACCTTGTCTCTTGTCTTCCAGTCCCAGTTTGGAAATGTATAATTGACTTCCCAATGTCCCTAATTCCAGTTTTAGTACTTTGAGTTGCCCTAATGCCCAGTTCTCCAAATCTGACTTTTCTTCATTTATCTAGTCTAAGGGAAGCATGGAGATGACAGAGAGCCAGTCTGCAGATGCTGAACCTCCACCTCCTCCTAAGCCAGACTTGAGCCGTTACACAGGGCTACGAACACACCTCAGCCTGGCTACCAATGAGGGTAAGGGCAGCAGCAGGGGCAAGAAGGTTACTTGTGGGCTGTAGAGAAATCACACAGGTCAGGGCTGGGAGATGCTTCTTGTGTTGTGGCTGAGAACACGTCCAACTTGAGCCACTGCTTTGGGCAGCTGGGAGAGAGAGAATGCTACTTAGCTACTGGCAATGAATTGGACTTTTGTGGGGAGAACTGTCCACCTCTGGACAGGCCAGAGAACATCCTAAACCTGTTTGGTGTGTCCTCTCACTGAGTTCTAGGCTGGTGTGTCTTCAGTCTTGATTTCAACAAAATCATGTTCCCAGGATTTAAGTTTTGCTGAGTATATCTGTTCCTCCCTTGTTTGTGTCCTGCCCCCAGTACTTTGAGGAAGTCTAGCCAGGTGAGGAGAACAGCTTGTAAAGTGGTGCCCCTGGGCTTTTTCTCCTGCAGATAGCAGCCTCCTGGTCAAGGACAGCCCCCCCACACCTACCATGTACAAGTACCGGCCGGGTTACAGTAGCACCAGTGCGTCAGCCGCCATGCCTCATTCATCCAGCGCCAAGGTACTGAGCACTAAGGGTCAGGTCAGGACATGAGAGACTGGGAGGAGACAGAAACCAAAGGCATTCTACTAATTGTTGGCATTAGTGGGATCGAATCTCCTAGATAGTGTGTCCTTGATCAAGAGGGAGGGGCATGGAGCATGATTAAAAACCCATGGCGGGCAAGTTGGTTAACCTCTCTAAATAAGCCTTATCATTTCTGTATCTTAAATGAAGTATTTGTTACAACTTACAGATTTGCATTAGGGGTTGCATGTAAAAGTTGTAAGTATATTGCTTGCACATAACAAATACTGTTTTTTGACTAATTCCTTGGGCCCTTGGGCCCAGCGTCTGTCATGGGAGGAGGAGCACTAAGAGCCTGCTTTGCTTTCTCCCTCAGTTGAGTCGTGGGGACAGCTTGAAGGAGCCAACCTCAATTGCAGAGAGCAGCCGCCATCCCAGCTACCGCTCAGAGCCCAGCTTGGAGCCAGAGAGCTTCCGCTCTCCCACATTTGGCAAAAGCTTTCACTTCGATCCACTATCCAGTGGCTCACGTTCCTCCAGCCTCAAGTCAGCCCAGGGCACAGGCTTTGAGCTGGGCCAGTTGCAGTCCATTCGTTCAGAGGGCACAACCTCCACCTCCTATAAGAGCCTGGCTAATCAGACACGCAATGGAAGCCTATCTTATGACAGCCTGCTCACTCCTTCAGACAGCCCTGATTTCGAGTCAGTGCAGGCAGGGCCTGAGCCAGACCCTCCTTTAGGCTACACCTCTCCCTTCCTGTCAGCCCGGCTGGCCCAGCAACGGGAAGCCGAGAGGCACCCACGTTTGGTGCCAACCGGCCCAACACACCGAGAGCCCTCACCAGTCCGGTACGACAATCTGTCGCGCCATATTGTGGCCTCCCTCCAGGAACGAGAGAAGCTGCTACGCCAGTCACCCCCACTCCCAGGCCGCGAGGAAGAACCAGGCTTGGGAGACTCGGGTATTCAGTCAACACCAGGCTCAGGCCATGCCCCTCGTACTAGCTCCTCCTCAGATGATTCAAAGAGATCACCCTTGGGCAAGACTCCACTGGGACGCCCAGCTGCCCCCCGTTTTGGCAAGCCAGATGGGCTAAGAGGCCGGGGACTAGGGTCCCCTGAACCAGGCCCAGCTGCCCCATACCTGGGCCGATCTATATCTTACAGCAGCCAAAAAGTCCCACCTGGTGTGTCTGAGGCGGAGGAAGTGGCTTTGCAGCCATTACTGACACCCAAGTAAGTATTAGTCCATTCTAGTGCTCATCAGACTTAAAATTAGCAAACCACCCCACAGAAGGCATCAGAGCTTTGCTTGCACATTCTAGTGCAAGTGGCTCCAGGATATCCTGTTTGTAGATAGCTCTCCATTTTCACTCTCACTCCAGCTGCCTTCATGAGCCATTGCTGTTCAGAGATTGAAGATTGAAATACTTCCTAAGAAGTATTTATTTGCCTGAGAGTGTATATACAAGATAACTGCTGCTATTGGAGAGAAGGAATAATAGGGGAGATAGGCAGTCAGGCTAGTTTCAGGCAGGGTAATGAGACATGGGAATGTTTGGGTCAAAATATATATGTAGAAAAGTATGTCATTTTTTCACTCTTTAACTTTTAAGCTATCTCCCTCTCCTGTGTTTTGTGTCCCACTCTGATACCTGTCTCTTCTTTTCTTCTAGAGATGAAGTACAGCTCAAAACAGCCTACAGCAAATCCAACGGGCAGCCCAAGAGTATAGGCTCATCGTCCCCTGGCCCAGGCCAGCCACCTCTCAGTAGCCCCACAAGGGGAGGAGTCAAGAAGGTGTCAGGGGTGGGTGGTACCACCTATGAGATTTCGGTGTGAGCCTTTGGCACCTCCCCTTCCCACACCTCTGCACCTACACCAAAGGGCCCCAGGTGGCCACCGTCCTTTCCTCAAGGGGCTCCCCTCCCCTGCATGGACATTTTTTACACCACCGATTCCAAGAGGATGAGGAGTGTTTTATAAAATGCAGTGGGGTTGGGGAGTTGGAGAGTTGGGGCCCTGAGACTGGGGTAGCAGCCCCTTTCACTTTTGAAGATCTTCCCTTCCTTAAACCCTGGACCAGACTCAGTGGACATTTGTGCAATTGCTCGCCCTGGAGGGAACCAGATCATTTTTAAACCAGAAATAATTTTTTTTATTATTGTTATGGATTCTATTTTTTTCCTCTTCTGCGTTACCAGGTGTGTGTGTACATATATATATATATATGTGTGTGTGTGTATATATATATATATATATATATATATATATTATAAATATCAAAGAAATTATATATCTATCCTGGGATGGGAAAATGAGGGATATGTGGAGGGGGATATCATTCTTCCTGATCCTCAGACCAGCAGGAAAGGGGAGACATGAAATGAAGTCTTCCTTTTCTCCATGGTTTCCTCTTGTCCCAGTTACCAACTAAGGAAATAGCACCCCCTGTTGTTGGTGCTGAGTAATCAGGAAAGAAACCCTGGGAGAGGAGAGTTTGGGATCTTGGTCAGAGGAGGGAAGGACTTGGAGAGATTTAGTTTTCTAGGTTCCTTGGCACTTAGTTTCCCCAGGAAAGGGGTCAGAGCTCCATGACTTTGGTAGTTGAGGGATGATCAGAAAAAGAGCTTGTCTAAGCTCCAGAAACAATATGGGAAAACCCCCCCTTCTTGGGGGTGAAGGATTAAGGTTGGCTTCTTCAGGTCCCTCAAAGCCTTCCCCCAACTCACAGTTAACATTATTTTTAAATCCAAGGCCGGGAGAGAAGAATCCAAAAAGCAATATTTTCATCACATGCCAAAAACAGGATGGAGAGATGGAGTGGCAGACCTAGGCCCCTCCAATTGTCCCTTGGGGGTTACCCCTTAGCCCACCTCAGTATGGTGCTGGATAGTGGGGATACCTGGGTTTTAACCTCTAAATAGGGGAGACCCCAGCCTCTAGACAGAGGCCCTTTTATTTTTTACTCTGATTAGCCATTTTAAACCAACAAGGAATAAAAACAAATCCTGATCTACTAGCTTCCCCTGACTTGTGTTATTTTGTCTGGTTTAAGACAGGGTAAGTAATCTCTGGTGGGAAGTTAAAAAGAAAACTCATGAGCTTCTCTGGTCCTCGCCCATCTGTAAGTAGGACTGTAGTGAAAATAACCACTTAAAACTAGGTCCTGTTTTTACTGCAGTGATTTAAAAATCCCTGAAAATAATCATTTGCAGCTTCAAAGCCTTCTTACCCTTTCAAAGCTCAGAACTCCTTTCACTTTTGTGCCATAGTAGTTCCTTAATACAGAAATTTGTCTCTGGAAAGTAAAGCTGATATTGTATGTAGTCAAGGATGAGATGTAGATGGTCAAGTTGTGAAAGCCTGTAAAAGGCAGATTGACTGGATATGGGTGGCAGTTGTTTGATATCTCACACTTGTCTTCTAGTTGTTGGAAGCAATAGGCTGTTAACCTAATTTTAAATAGGCATCCTTGGACCCTAAATCTCAGTAAACTGAAGACCCTTTATTTTCACTGTCCGTAACTTCAGTATTTAAACTTGCTCTGAAATCCTAGATTAAAACAGCTTAAATGAGTGATTTTCTCCCTGCTCATAATAGGAACAATCAATGGCTTATCACAACAGATCTTAACTGTTCTGCCTTAAAGTCAGATTACATTAGCTTGGGCTTTCTTGATAAATTTTCAGTTATCTGAAATTAAGAAGATTGAAAGGATTTATTTTACACTCTGCTAGTTTTTTACCAGCTTAAAAATGTTTTCACATCAGCCAAATAATTTGTCATAACTACGGAACAAGGCAGGTAAAACATTCTTATAAAGACAAGAGAAACACTGACCTTTGCCAGAGGTTTATTTTAAAAACTCAGGCTTGACCAAAAATCAACCTTGTTAAAATAAGTGATTGTGAGTGTTTTTTCAGTTGGCTGTTTTGTTTCAACACAAAATTAACCTAGAACACAGCTGAACCCTAACTAGATCAGCTCTTAAAGGGAACCTGAAGATCATCCCATGCTTGGTTCTCAGTGTTATGGGCAGGCTGTTCCGCGTCTGCTGTGGAAAGTTATCACCAAGCTTTGCTTCACTATTGGGACCATGTTCTGCAATCTTGTTTTGGGTGTTCCCCTCTGCTGATGCGATAATGTAATGACAAGAACCAGATCCCTTCAGATCTTAGCATGCCTCAGCTTAAACCCTACCACAGAAAGGCATATAACCTCTTATAGGCAGCCACACATGCTAGTGTGATAAATGAAAAAAAAATTTAAAGAAAAACAGTAACAAATCAGATAAAGTCCTAAATCAGACAAGTTGTACAAGAGATGAAAGCTTTCTGGGAGATGTCTGTGAGCCTTACAAAAAGTATGGCCCTTCTTTAACATAATGTTTTAACCTTAATGGAGCACTGTGAGCCAGCTTCTGTCCCAGTCCGATTTTCCCAAGGCAGCGCCCGAGGTCCTGGAAGGCAGCTGTGACCAGCAGGGTCCTGACAGTAGAGGGGCAGCGTCCAGATGAAGGGGGTTACTGGGGTGGTCACTGGTGGGTCTGGATGGCCAGGGTCTGCTGGGGGGTTATGGCTGGGTCCGGACAGCGGAGGTGGGGTGCCGATGGGTCCAGGAGGCCCGTCAGCGGAGGCTGCCACTGCTGCTCGCCTGGGAGCCGCCCATGCCTGGGTGCTCCGGGCTGTGTCGGTTCTGGGGGGACAAGGAGTGGTAAGCGAACAGCTAGGAAGAAACCTTGGCCTTCACCAGGGAAAAGAGCGCCCTGTCTTGACTTTTCAATCCTGCGTCCAACCCAAGGCAAAGGACTCAACCAAGGATGGGGTGACATGTAGGGATTCACTGGGTCATAGCAACAGGCCCCTATCCTACCTTCTTTTTCTTCTTCTCTTTCTTCTTTCTTTTCCGCTCGGGATCCTCTTCTTTCTTCTTCTTCTTCTTCTTGTGATCAGAATCAGATGGTGTTTCTGTAAAAGACAAGAGGTGCCTGTCACCTGAAGAGCTCAAAATCCCCTGCTCCTGGCAATTCTAGAGACTGCAGGACAGGCCCTGGTCAAGTGACTGCTTTTCTCCACACTGGAGGCCGGAAGGGAGCAGAGGAGCTGCTAAAGCCCTTGTCCCCAGTTCCTGCTTGTCTGGGAGACCCCATTACATCAGTTTCTTCCAGGAGAACTGGGGAGTCCAGGGCTCCACAAGGAACTTAATTGGGTTTTTAACTGAGGATGGCTGAACCAGATTCAGAACGTCAGGTTTCCTGACTTTGAACAGAACCACTTCTTACCTGGAGGGACAGGATCCTGCGTACGGCTCTGTTTGTGCTTGTGCTTATTCTTCTTCTTGGGAGGCTGAATGTGCATCAGACGACACTGCTCTGGCAACTGAAGGAACCAGAGGAAAGGCCAGGTGAGTGTGTGTGTGTGGGTTCCCTGCTCCCATCATCTGTTCTGCTCAGTAAGTTAGGAAGGAACAGACCTGGACAGAAAAAGCACCTGCATGCCTTTCAGGCCTCCCCATGTGCTCCCCTGCTCCCTAAGGGGACTCACCGGGCCAGTGTGGAGGCGGAAGCCAGCCAGCATGGTCCCTGTGATAGGATTAAAAGAGCCACCAAGAATAGGGGGCTTCTCAATGAGGGAGCGGAGGCTGCTGTTATCATGGGAACCAGGCAGATCAATCATCCCTGGCAGGTCTGGCAGGAAGTTACTTAGCTTCTCCTTCACCTTCTTCCCACAGAATTTATTATAGGCCTGTTCCAGGTTGTAGTGTGTGATCAGATTGGTGCTGCCTGTCAGCTCTGTGCTGCCTAGAGGACATAAAATAATAATAAAAATACATTAGTTCCAAGAGTTTTTTTTTTAATCATTGACCCAGAGGGAAAGCAAATTACTGTATTTAAGCCAAAAATAAGGTATCTTTTAAGTGAGAATCACAAAAATTAAAAAATTTACAAGTAAGAAACAGCAATACTAAATAACACATAATAAATACTAAAAATACAGTTCCATATATTGGTGGCATGGAATGGGAAGTAGAAAATGCAAATAGGGAAGAGATGGAAACTGCTTTACCCCATGGAGGCATTCTCCCCTCCTTGGACAAACCAGAATAACTTACACAGTGTTCACTCCATGCTAAACATTGTTCTGAGTGCTTTTCAAATAAGATGTACTAATGAGAATATAAACTCTCTTTGACATATTTGACATAACCAGTATAATACCTCAGAGCTCAGCTACAACCAATCTAAGGACCAAATATGACCTGATGGTTTCAATGTCTTGTCAAGGACTTTTTTTTTTACTAGCAAGAAACACTAATTATCTTTACAAGGAAAAACAGGAGATTTTTCTAGCTACTGTTGCCTAACTTTTGTTACCATCTTTATTCTTCTTAATAATACTGAGAATAATGCTTTGCCTAGAAGAAAGATTGCTCTGACTAGAGGCTGGGTAATGAGAATTCTAATTCTAGCCGTCCTCTATGCCTCAGTTTCTCCTTATCTGTGGAGTGGGGTAACAGCTATTTTAAGTACACTTAATTTTTTTTCAAGGTTCAAAGGAAAACATTGAAAAGCATAAAGTTTTATATAAATGCAAGGCATTATCAGTATAAACACTGCATGGCTGGCTTTTTTCAACAAACATAACGTTATTAGTAATTTAACAAGGATCAGTGGCAAGGGTGGAGTATCTAGCCTCCAACTTTATCTATGGTTATGATGGACAATGAAAGGTACAAATGACAAAAGTGGCTTGTTTATGATGACTGATTTGGGAAAACTCGGGTTCTGAGCTGTGAGTCCCTGAAGGGTAGAGACATTCTTGTTTGTATTTTGTGCATTCACATATCACTGGTGCCCAATACAGCACACATACATTCCACTCCATAACTTCTAAATGAGCAAGGTTATTTGTCCTGCATATGTTTAGGCCTTACCTAGTCTTCTCCTTTTGTTCCCTCATGCCAAATGTTTCACTGTAATGGCAGGAGACCCAGTGCCACAGCACCTCCTCCTAACTAGGACTGCCTCCTGTCATTCTAATACCCTGATTTTCTGCCCTCTGTCAGCTCTCCTCCTTCCAGATAGTTACACCCAAAGCGCAGGTGAGAAGGCACTCTGTGCATTTCCTAAACTCTTGAACTGCAGCGCCCATCTAACTTCCTGTTTTACTATCAGTTCTATGAAGGTGATTTACCTGGCCCTAACTCCTCTGTTAAAAACTAATCTTGTGTTTCCAGCTTCCTCTTAGTCAATAGAATTATTTTTTTTATCTCCAACTTTCCCCCCTCTCACTCATGGTTTCTCTTTTACAATACCTGGCACCCACATTCTCCAGGTATTTTTAGAAGCAGTACTCCTGAGTTCAACAATCTCAGTGGTTTCCTATTATGCTCAGGAAAAATCTCAAATCCTTTAACTGGCACTCACGGTAAAATTCATCCTACTGTAACTTAGATTTGAGGCCTGATCAACCGCTATTCTATGCAAAATATCTGATCCATCCAAACAGGTCTCCATCATCTTTGGAAAAATACACCCCTCATTTTCTTTTCTTTCAGGAAAATTCCTCCTAATTTTCTTCAACAGTATGAATTCTTCAAGGTCCAGCTCAAGTAACAACTGCTTTCTGTCATTCTGGATAACAAGGAGCACATTTTGAAAATGATCATATGCTTTTTAATAGTTGTGACATATGACCACAAAGTAATGAGACTGACCTTGACAAGAATTTTGGTTACATTATCCTTAAGCCACATACTTTGTACACCTAAATAAAATACGCTCCTTAAAAACAAGGACCAGGCTTATTTATTTCTCTCCCCATCTCACCTCATGTCACCTTTCCTACACACTCAGCATTTGGCTGGAAACAGATATTCAGTATCTGTCAACTGGTTGATATAAATAGGTACAATCACAATAGGTAAGGTTAAGACACTGCTGGGTGACATCAACCACTAACTAACCAAAGGAAAGTCAATCCCTCTATGCTTCAGTTTTTTCAACTGTAAGTGCCTACCTTAAGGGGCTATTTTTTTTAAATTAAGATACCACTGATATACAATCTTAGGAAGGTTTCACACGAGCAACACTGGTTCAACATTCATCCACATTATCAAGTTCCCCCCCACCCCATTGCAATCACTGTCCATTAGCGTAGTAAGATGCTATAGTCATTACTTATTCAAGGGGCTATTCTAAGTACTAACTAGTATTTCATATATAACTGCATCGTGAACTTCAAAGTACTGTGCCAATATTCATTATTATTTTCCTCAACTCTTGATGTAGCAGGCCCTGGGATGAACTAAAAGGCATCTTGGAGACTTAACATGTCCAAAATAACTTCCACCTCCTCAAACTTGTTTCTTCCTTTCTCAGCACTACCATCCATCCAATTATCCAAGCCAAGAATTTACAAGTCATCCTCAATTCCTCTCCTTCACTTCTGTATTCAATCGTTCATTCCTGTCAGCTCTCCTTCTAACACTCATCCTGCATCCATTCACTTCTCTCCTCCACTACTACTGCCAATTCCAAACCATCATCGCTTTCCTGGACTACTAAGCAGTAACTTCTAACTGACTTCCCCACTTTCCATTCTTAACATAGTTGCTTGAATGATTTAAGATAAAATTAGGTCATGTGATTCTCCTGTGTCAAAATGGCTTAACTCAAAAATGAAATACCTATTTCGACCGCTGCCTACCTCTCTCACTTTCATCTCCTATCACTCTTTTCTTTGTCACTCCACTAAAGTCCACAAGTTGTCTGGCCCTCAGATATTCCAAGCTTTTTCTCACATCAGGGCTTCTTATTTCTTGTATCTAGAATTATCCTCCTTCCCACTCACACACAGCTAGCTCCTTATGCTTATATTTTAGCTCGTGTCACCTACTAAGAGGGTTTCTACCATTCTAGCTAAAAGTAGGTCTGTCCCCTCAATTCTTTTATCACATTTTCTTTTTATATCACTAACCACTGTCTCAATATTATTTTGCTTACTCTATGTTCCTCACTGAAATGTAAACTCCAAAATAGGCAAGGATCTGAATCTTGTTCACAGCATTTAGGACAGTGCCAGGTACATAGCAGATGCCCCCCAAAATAATTTTAATGAAAGAATTTGGTTCAATTCTGGTTTATTTTAATCAAAGAGTCTTGCTCAATTTGGACACATGAGAAAATGCCATGGCCTGAGAAGGACAACATGCCTCAAACCAACAGCAAGCGTGGCAGATCTGACTTAAAACTTTAGGTCCGCAGGGATGTTAAATCGGGACTCTAGAGTTCCAAACTCAAACCGTGTTTCGTTTTTAGGGAGGCATAAATCAACGTCAGGGACAGAGGCCAGATGTGGAGTGAAAGATGGTCACGGTGATGCATTCTCACCCTCTTCCCAAACCACGCCAAGAATTCACTCATCCCTTCAGTTTTGAAAAACTCAGCCCTTCCGATTTTGAGCGCAAAGATTCCCGAACGCGTAGCCTAGGTTACTACTTCGAACCTCCGCCAGAAGGCTGGGAGCCACGCCCATCACCAGGTCCTCGCTGTGATCTGATAGGCTTAAAACAGGCCTACTACTCACCCGGCAGTTCCCGCATTAGATAGAAAGGACCACAGCCAGCCCCTGACTTGTCGGTCCCAGGAGCTGCCGTGGCCGCGGTCGGGACAGGGGCCGTGCCGGGTCCCCCGCCCGGAGGCGGGGGAGGCGGGGGTGGAGGTTTTCCTGGTCCGAAGCCTAGTGCGGTTGAGGGAGGTGGTGGGTCAGCCTGAGCTCCGAACAGTGCCGTGAAATTCTCCATCGTCCCCTCCGCCCCAGGGCTGTCCTGGTGTCTGGCGTTGGTGATTTTCATTGGACAATCCTTTCACGGCGTACCGCCCTCCTCCTCCGGGAGCCGTTTGTGATTGGGTGCCCGCCTACCGTCTTAAGGCAACTATTTCCGTCGCTTTATGAGCACGTTCAGGAAGCGCTATCTAACCTTATTAAATTCTTGATGTATCTGCTCGCCTCAGTCTCATGTCTAATAAAATGTCTTAGGTGGAAGAAAGCGATAGCTAGATTGACCAATAAGATGTCAAATCCCTAGTGCTAGCATACAGTAACATCCAATCAGAGATCTCCTTCCGGGCCTAGGGGCGGTGCATCGGAGACAAGGCCCAATGGGAGTCTCAATGTGGGCAGAGGCAAGACTAGACAACACCGACGCCTAAGAGCGCCGGCGGCCCAGAGGGCCAGAAAGATGGCGGTCCTAGCACCTTTAATTGCTCTGGTGTATTCGGTGCCGCGACTTTCGCGATGGCTGGCCCGACCTTACTACCTTCTGTCAGCCCTGCTCTCTGCTGCCTTCCTACTTGTGAGGAAGCTGCCCCCTCTCTGCCACAGTCTCCCCACGCAGCGTGAAGACGGCAACCCGTGTGACTTTGATTGGGTGAGCGACCCCTGCCTAGGACCCCGTGACCTTGACTGCCCCTGCCCCAGCGGTTGCATTGGGAGCCCCAGGTTCACCTCTGGAAGGATACCCAAGGTTACGAGCCTAAAGCGGACTTAGAGTATTAGAGTGGAGGGCCTGGTCGGTCATCCGGTCTAAATCTCTTCGTGATCAGTTAAGATGAGAAAACGGTGGGTAAGCCTAAACAGCCTCTGTCTTCTGACCCATGAGTCCAGGATTCTTTTCATCTTACCATTCATACTCGTCAACAGTCCTACCCAGACTACACAAGTGCAGTGTTTATTACAGTGTTGCTTATTATTAAGGCCTCTTGAGGAGCCACCGAGGTAACAAGGCAAGTAGTATTTCCCGTTTTGTTTATGAAGAAATTAGTCTCAGTATGGTTAGGCGACTTGTCCAAGGTCACTCAACTAGTAAGTGACCGGAACTTGGGCTCCCTGTTCTGGCCATAGTACCTGCACACTCTTACACATTTCTTAATTCAGTGAACATTTCCAGGGAGCACACAATGTGCTAAGTACTGTGCTTCATACTGAGGATGCAAATATGCCTGTTAAGCCTGTTGAAAAGGAACTGTAAAAAATACATTGCAAAGAAATCTGTCTCAAACGTCTTGCTGTACTGCCTGAGTAGGAGTGGAGGGATCACTGAGAAAAATGGCTTGAAGCTGTGTGCACTCTGCTGTACAACAGTATCTGTGTTCTGAGGAAGGAGGTTAGTCATACCGTTTTTGTCTTTTCCAGCCCCCACCTAGTTTTATCCTCCATCCCTTGTTTACTCTTTCATACTTCTCTGCCCTTTCCCAGACAGTAGTATTGATAAGTTCAGGTGTAGCCCTGCTACAAAAAATCCTATTTTTATCTGATCCAGTAGTCCTCCCATATTGGTGGTGGTATTTTCCAAGACCCCCAGTGGGTGCCAGAAACCCAGATAGTACCATACCCTATGTATACTGTATTTTTTCCTATACACACATACATATGAAAAAGTTTATAAGTTAGGCACAGTAAGAGATTAACGGTAATAACTAATAATAAAATAAAATAATTATAGCAGTATATTACAGTAAAAGTTATGTGAACATGGTCTTTCTCAAAGTACCTTACTGTACTATAGTCACCCTTCTTGGATAATGTGAGATGATAAATGCCTACATGGTGAGGTGAAGTGAGGTGAATGATGTAGGCATTGTGGCATAGCATGGGCTTCTGATGATATGTCAGAAGGAAGATTATATACTTGCATCACCATTAGAAGAACATATACCATGAGTATACAAGCAGCCAAATCCAGAAAGTGGGAAAGTTGACAGATGACTCGGCTTCAACAGATAAATAGCCTGGAGTAAAAAGGAACAGCAGGTATCCATTAGAGATTAACGAAGACCAAAGAAACACATCAGCTAGATATACTATGTCTTTTACTTGCTTGTTCTTGATTTGACTAAACAACTGTACAAAGACAATTTGAGATAATTGGGATCATTTGAATGAGGACCGAGTATTAGATAACAGTAAGGAATTATTGTGTGAAATATGATTATGTTATTTTGGTTTGTTAATAAGTTCATTCCTGTAAGAGAGATGAACTGAAGAATTTACAAGTGAAATGATTTAATTGGATTTTGTTTTAGGCTCTCCAGCAAAAAAAAAAAGGGGGTGGCACAGATGAAATGGAACCATTTTGGCAAAGTGTTACTATTGACTGAGTAGTACGGGTTCATTAAAGTATTGTAGGGCAAGAAAAATTTATTTTCTCTCTTTTGAGGTCTTGGCTGAGGCCCCTTATCAGAAAAGACAGATTAAAAACAATTGAAAGACAAACAGACGTCTATTAACATGTATACCTAATGTATACGTGGGAGATAATACAGGGAAAAATGAGTCACTCAAAGAGGGGGCTTAGAACTCTGACTTATACAGCATTTTTGACAAAAAACAATAAGAGAAATAACTAGACCAAGGAAAGCAGTTCTAAGCTTCTAAGGGTGGCAAACTGGGAAGGTAAACTAATGGTAGATAAAGGCTAGTTTGTTATGCAGGGCCTCGGGTGCTCTCTCTAGGCTGATAGAATCTAAAGTTATCTCCCTTGATTAACTGTGTCCTTCCTGGTAGAGAAGGTTGGAGGGATGCCTTTGAAAATGTATTTCCTGCTTTTAGACAAATGGGAGAGGGCAGGGAGCTTTTCTTGTATCTATTTCTCAGTTGCTTTTAATGTCAAAATTATCCTCATGCCAAAGTGGCATATTTTGGGGAGGAGGCATATTCTGCTTTCCTTCAGTATCCTCTCTGCTTATGTATATTTGAAAATTTCTATAATAAAAAGTTTGAAAACAATGGAAAAATAAGCAAAACAATGAGAAGGGCTCTGCTTCTTATAGATACTCTGGAACCCACTCTCATTCTGTCTTCAACCTATGGCTTTAAGGTCATCCCAGTATAGTCTAGCCAGCAGATGAAGAAAGCTGGAATGCAAGGACATACCCTTTTTTACTGCCCGGTCCAGAAGTGGTACATCACTCACTTCTGCTCACATTCCACTCAGGGTTACTTGCTAGTCACATAGTTCTATCTAGATACAGGGATGCCAAGAAAGAAAAAGAAAAACGTTTGAAGTATACTTAGCCAGTCTTTGCCATAGGCCCATTCTCTATCTTTTGAGAAGATTCCTTTTATTCCAATCTTTAGTGTCCTGGTGGACTGTAGTTCCCCTTTTAAATTTCATCTTTCCACAATTGTAAGCCCCAATTCTAACTCATTTCTTTTGTGAAAACTCTTCCTAATTCCTGCTCAGGTATGATATTTAGTAAGGTCTGTCATATTCCCTAACCCCCACATTATGTGTCCATTCCTAAATCCAATCAGGCACTCTTTGTTGGAACTGGAGGGTAAAAACCATGCTCCCTCTCTTAACTGTAAATTGCAGTTGATGGGTTCTGTCTCAGATAATGATTTGGCTCTCTGTATTATAAACAGAAAGGTATGGAAGGTCTCAGAACATCCAATCTAGTTGCTCTCCTATGCTTTCTTTCACACGGTTCTATAGTCTTTACTCTTTGAAATGTTCTTGTTTGTTTCCTTGTTTTGTTTACTGGCTGTCTCACTTCGCTTATATGGAGCTTACATTCTAGAAGGTGAGAAAGAACCAAGCCAAGGGTACTGAAAAGGACCTTCTAGACCTCTGAGAGGCCTCGTTCAACTCTCAAATTACCGTGGACTTCTGCACAATGTGGGGGTTAGGAGTGCCGACACTCCCCTCAACACAATTGAAAATACTCCCCCCCAAAACTTGACTACGAAAAGCCTATGGTCTGTTAACCAGAAGATTTACTGATTAACAGTCAATTAACATATATTTTGTACATTAAACGTATTGTATACCATATTCTTACAGCAAAGTAATCTAGAGAAAAATGTTTTTAAAATTGTCACAAATCTCAAAAAATTTTTCTGATGTACTTATTAAAAAAAATATGCATATAAGTGGACCTGGGCAGGTCAAACCTCTTATTCAAGGGTCAACTGTATATTAAAGGTGCATGGATTATTACTATAAATAATAGGCGGAGAGGAATGATGTAACATAAGCAAAACCAAACAAATGGAATAGCCAGATATTGTATCAATGGAATATTATTGAGAAAGTTTGCCTGAAAAAGTTTTATTTTACCAGGGTCACACTGAACTGGTTGTAATATCTTAGTTTTACACTATATCATACTTTATATAACTCTTTCATACATTGTCTATTTTTAGTTCTTACACTAGCATTTTGATACAAATACTGTTCGGTGGAGGAAACCACTGAAGGAGGTTAAGTGATTTGCTGAAAGGCACCAAGCCAGGTTGTGGCAGGGGTAGAACCTGAACCTAGATTGTGTCATTGGTGTTTTTCCCACTACATTTTAGCTGACTCCAGTTATTTTTCATTGTTAACCATTCCCAGTTTGCACGTCTGCTGGTTTTTATTGCATTGGCTCCCTTACCTACCCAAATCATCTCTCTTCACGTCATTCCTGTCATTTTGACTCTGTTCCAGAGAGAGGTTGAGATCCTGATGTTTCTCAGTGCCATTGTGATGATGAAAAACCGCAGATCCAGTAAGTTTAGCCTGCTTCTCTGTCTCTCAAGGTTAGGCCTAATGCTTTCCCTATTGCTTTCATTTATGTTAACATGAGGGGCATTATTTGGTGAACTAGTCTGTTCATTCCACGCCAAGGCTGAATTTGATCTTGGACTTTTAAACCCTGCTCTCTCTCCCATTTCAAAGTATCCCAGGATGAGGGGACAAACAGTGGGGTATAGGAGCATGGAGCCAGCCTGACCTGTTACATCTCTGTGTTTCAGTCACTGTGGAGCAACATATTGGCAACATCTTCATGTTCAGTAAAGTTGCCAATGCCATTCTTTTTTTCCGCCTGGATATTCGCATGGGCCTGCTTTATATCACACTCTGCATAGGTAAGGAGACTGTAAAACTTGGTTGTGGGAACCAAGTTTCAATCCCAAACCAGTTTTTCTGTACCTTTCTTCTGTATCTTGTACCTAATTAATTATGCACGTGTCTCAGATAATAAAGAGTCTAAATAGACTTGAAGAGGAAGGGAATCTGTCATGTTGGTGGTCTGTTCTTCGGTGCTTGAAATCTTTGAGTTGGTGTGAATGTAAATCCCCTGCGGAAGTCTTTGTATGTTTACTCTCTGATACCTTCTTTCTGTGTTAACAGTGTTCCTGATGACATGCAAACCACCCCTGTATATGGGCCCTGAGTACATCAAGTACTTCAGTGATAAAACCATTGATGTGAGTGCTCTTCCTTTCTGTTTCTTGGGTCCTTTATGGGTAATTTTATAGTTGTGTCTTTACTTACTAGGAGCAGCAGTGCTCAGGATTGAAGTCAAATGTACTGTGGTTCATTATTGGATCTAGGGGAGGAAAGGAGGGGAAGCCAGGACGAGGAATTAGAGACCAAGGGCTGAACCTTTCCAGGAGTCTGTGATCCAGCTCACTGTTCTTCCCTGTGTGTGGCAGGAAGAGCTGGAGCGGGACAAGAGGGTCACTTGGATTGTGGAGTTCTTTGCCAATTGGTCTAATGACTGCCAGTCGTTTGCTCCTATCTATGCTGACCTCTCCCTCAAGTGAGTAGTGCAAAGGGAGGGATGATGGAAATCGACATGGCTGTCCCTTTCTTCTCATTGTTTTTGGCTTTGATTTTTGCACATCACAACCAAAGGCATTCCCTCCAACCCAAATATCTGTACTTCCACTTCTCCTCTCTTTCACTATGTTAAATAATGTATTCTTCTCAGGTACAACTGTACAGGGCTAAATTTTGGGAAGGTGGACGTTGGACGTTACACTGATGTTAGTACACGGTATGTAAGGGCCTGGGCCAGAGGGTTTGCGCAGGGGATCACTCAGAGTGCTGTATACAGGTGCATTTACAGAGTACTTTCCCCGCCCATAGGTACAGAGTGAGCATATCGCCTCTCACCAAGCAGCTACCTACGCTGATTCTGTTCCAAGGTGGAAAGGAGGTCATGCGGCGGCCACAAATTGACAAGAAAGGACGAGCTGTCTCTTGGACCTTCTCTGAGGTCACTTGAAAGAGTGGGCGAGTGTTTTTGGAGAAGGGTGTGGAGTAGTAGATGGGCTTTGGACTCCAACCTGGACTTTATTCCTAGCTCTTCCACCTGCCCCCTGGCTTTGAGAGTGTAGGCTATTTATGAGACCTCATGATGAATTCACTCAACAAATTCATATTATAGGCTTCTACCATATGCCAGAACTGCCAGCACTGGGAACTGTTATTAGTACCTATTGTCTGTAGGCCTTAGGTTCCTTAGCAGTAAACTGGAGTCAGTAGTACTAGGCTCACTGGGTTGTTTCATAGATTACATTAAATAATGCAACTATAATTCTTGGCATGGTGATTGTCACATAATAGGTACTTAAATATTAGTTGACTTTTTCCCAGGTACCCAAAACACAGAGTTAGGTTAGAGTAGATTTCTGCCCTCTGCTTCCTTCTTTCCTAGTGTTCCTAAATACCGTAGTGCTAGTAAGTACTCTCCCTTCCAGCCTGAACCTTGATGTGTGTGTGCATGGATTTCTTCTGTGCAGGAGAATGTGATTCGAGAGTTCAACTTGAATGAGCTGTATCAACGGGCCAAGAAGCTATCAAAGGCTGGCGAAAATATCCCAGAGGAGCACCCTGTGGCCCCAACCCCCACCAGCGTGCCAGATGGGGAAAGCAAGAAGGACAAATAAGATCCTGGCCTCCTCAGTACTTTGCTCTCCTGTCAATCCCAGGCACCTTTGAGGCCCTGCCCGTTTTGTAACCACCAGCCTTGCCTGAGGCTTTGGCCTTTTATTTATGTTTTCCCTGTTTGGGCTGTACCTGGGTGGGGCAGGGTGCTGCTTCCGGTTTTAAAGAGGCTTCTAGGCCGTCTACAGCGACCCACCAGGAAGGCCTTCTCTGCTGTGTCTATCTCTTGACCGAAGGAAGGGAGAGATCTCACATAATTGAGGAGGAAATTCTTTCCTTCCAAGCTTGGATCAGTGTGTCAGCTGCCATCCACCACTCACCTGTCCACCACGCTGTGGTTTCATTATGCCTGTCAGTGGATCTATACAGCCTAATTAAACCCAAACATAACATGCCTGGGGTATTGAGTCAGTGCTAAGATTTTTCCATTAAGGACCTTTGCTTCTTTAGGCACTTCTGACTTGGTCTGTGGCCTTCATTAAAAAGTTTAAGCCTACCTTTGTGATTGGTCCTAAGGAGAAACATTTAACCACAGTTCTCATTGAAGACTGGAACAATCCCATTTTATGGAGATTGGGAGAAAGGGGGATAGAGATTTACAACATTCCTTTGGAGGAGAAAGCTCTGGGCGGAATTGGGGTTTCACTCACCGTCCTACTTTCCCTGTACCCAGTTGATGGTTTTCCACAATAAAGAGACTGGAATTTCCTTTGATTACACCTTTGTGTGTTCTGCCAGTATAAAAGCCGGGCAATTGCCCATTTCCTTAATTTAAAAGGCTATGCTAATTAGTTTCACCAATTGCTGGGCATTGGTTGCCAGAATTGGGGGGAGTTGTGCAAGACTACTATCCTTCACGTCAGGGAGTTCGGCTGTGGATTTGGCTTGGGATTGGTCCCAGTCCCAGGAGGCGGCGCGGGGTGGGGGCGGACGGCGCACACTTCAGCCCCAGGGGCGGTTACCGAAGAACCTGCGCAAAGCCAGTCGTGTTTTGCCACCCCCGGCAATCGCTGGTCTTTGGATCCGGGGCCCCAGTACCTCCCCCTGCTACGTGCGTAGTGGCTCTGCCGGAAGTTCCCGCCTCCAGGCCACGTGTGGGCTCGGCGCCAAGCTTCCCGCTGCTTGGAGCAGCGTCTGTCCTGCTGTGTGGATCGCGGAGCGGCCGCGTCTGCTGCCAGTGCCTGCTCAGTGGCCGGGTTTCCACCCTGTTCCCGCCCCAGGTCGGCTCAGTTCCTGGCCGGGCTCGGGGGGCTATGGCTTCCCGCGGGAGGAAGCGCAAGGCGGAGGCAGCGGCGGTGGCGGTCGAGAAGCGAGAGAAATTGGCTAGCGGCCGAGAGGGAGTGGAGGAGGCGGCCGTCGTTATAGAGCATTGGTGAGGGGCCTGCGGAAACACGGGGCGGGGGGCAAGGGCGTCGCATACCTCGGGCCTTAGCCTCTGACCTCCTGTCTCCCCAGCACCAGCTGACGCGTCTACGGGCGCAACGCCGCGGCCCTGAGCCAGGCGCTGCGCCTGGAGGCCCCGCAGCTGCCAGTGAGGGTGAACCCTGCCAAACCCCGGAGGGGCAGCTTCGAGGTGACGCTGCTGCGCCCGGACGGCAGCAGTGAGTGGGGGCCCGGGTCTGGGGCAGGGGCATGGTTCCGAGGCGAGGAAGCGCCGGTCTCAGCCGCGGTCACCAGATGATTGTGGAGAGATGGTGGTGGATTCCCTATTAACTTCGCCTTCCTCGGTCTTTTCCCAGGTGTGGAGCTCTGGACGGGGGTTAAGAAGGGGCCCCCACGTAAACTCAAGTTCCCTGAGCCTGAAGAGGTGGTGGAGGAGCTGAAGAAGTACCTGTCGTAGGGAAGTTTGGGCCGAAGCCCTCGCGCTGAGGTTTGAGATGAGACGGGGAGTTGATTGATCTTGGTGTGGCTATCTCCCAAGCAGCCCTGCTCACCTTATTTCACAGAGGGTCTACATTATCATAGGTCTTCCCTTTCTCTTACTTAGAATTTCCTCTACTGGGAATACCTCTCCCCCTTTTTAGTGGTATGAAGAACCTTTAAAATAACTGTTTCCTTTGCTAACTTCATGTTTTATGCCATTGTCTTTGAGCTTAGTCCAGGGTACTGATGCTGTAAATGTTTGTCTGGGGAAATGAAGTTTGTGCCCTCTGAGATGCAGTTGTTGCCCTGGGGATGTAGGCCAGTTTGTTTAAAAATCCATTTTCCATGGCGTGTGTTTTATTTGAAAATTCCATTGGTTCTCTTTTATTAGTTAAAATGATTGACACGTGTTACTGTATTTGTACAAGTTATGATTTTCCCCCTTTTAATGGCAAAATCTTTGCATAACTTCACATATACTTCCACCCTCTTGGGATTTTTATTCCTAGTATGCTTCTTTCTGTTCCGAATCTCATATGATATATACTGCTTTGGTATATTGTCAGGCACTTGATATGTTGAGTGGGATGTGGGAGAGGAAGCAGTCCTGGAGGTTTTTGGGTTGGGGGCAGGGCACACCTTCTTTGGGCTTCTCCATTGCCTGCGTCCCCCTTCTCTAACTGTCTCCTCTCATTTTCACAGCCTTCTGTCTCTGGTGATGTTGGAACATTTATGACGGGACGTGGCCAAACCTCAGCCATGTGCCTGAAGCTGTGGTTTCTCCCCCTCCAGAAATGATTCGGTTGTTAGGCAACCCTCTAGTAAGGCATTAAAAAGTTTTTGGGTTTGGTTTGTTTAATAAAAGTTGAAACAAAGTATTTGAGTAATTAAAACTTCCTTCTCATGGTAAGGGATGGACAAAGCCAGCCCCTTGTATGTTTTCATAGCCTAAGGTGCACCAGTTAACCTGAAGCTCCTAGGGTCCCTGGTAGAGCACATGAATACCTTAAAAACTGGGGAGAAGTAAATTTTTATTTAAAAAAAACAACTGGATCTCTTTTAATTCACTGGAAGTAATGATGGGAGTAATCTTCCTGTTCTTCACAGAGGTTGTGGCTAGACTTCCCATCCTGGCAGTGGATAAAAACCCCACAATAGGTACTGGACAATAGTGTGTCACTCCCACCCGTTCAGTGTTCCGCCCCAGCACTACTTCACACACCACCTTCTGGAACATTTTCTCTTACGCAGAACCCCCACCACAGAGTGTTCTTTCTCAACTTCTGGATTAGCAGTAACTATAGATGCCTCCACCTGGAAAGCCTTGGCTGTTACCTATGATCCACTAGAGTTGGGGACCGTTTATTGTCACTAACTGAAATACAGATTACAAACTAGTAAGATGGGTAAGTTCAACATTTTCTCTCCATGGAACTACTTGACCTCTGCCGGGCTTCCAAAGCCTGGGGAGGGGAGGAGGGATCTATAATAGTGCCAGGGCTACATCTGTCTTGTGTAAGAGAACAGTGCATGTGCCAACCTCTGCCAATACACCTGCTAGCCAACATTACCCACCTTATCGTGCCTTACCTGCTTTCCTCACTCCACTACATTAATATGTCTACCACCTCTGTTTCTGACTCTGAAGAAGGGTCAGGCCACACAGAGGGAATACTGGTAGGCACCAGCCCCCCCTGTGATGTCCAGTCCACCACATCGATCTCCTCATCAGAGCTTGCAGGAAGTGGGCCCAACCATTCTGAGTTGCTAAATACCTCCCTGCCTGCCTCTGGACCAGGCAATATCTCATCCATAGTTAGGGACTCATCTGGCTCAGTTTCCGCCCAGTTAGAACAAGTTGGCAAGAGGTCCTCAGAGGACCTTTGGGGAGTGTCAAGCGAGTCAGCATGGAGAAGTGTGTCCCTCTGAGAGGGCTGGGAGCAGGTGATTTCCAGGTCTCCAGTCCAAGAGCTTTCCACTGAAAGCACCTCCCCTTCACTCATCTCAGAGGGTACGACTAGGGGGCTAAGTGACTTAATGGGCTCTTCGTTCTCTGTGGGCATGACAAGGGTGCTAAAGGACTCATCTGACTCTCTGTTCTCACTAACAGGCTCCTTTTCCAATCTTGTGAGCTCTCTGGGCCAGAGTTCCATGTCTGGCAGACACCATTCTTCCCCTTCAATCCAGTTCTTCCCAGTGCCTGTCAGGTGATAAGCCGGGGGGGTCATGCAGTCCTCAGCTCCAGGACTCTCCAGAGGCTCCAGAGGCGGCTGAGTGTCTGAGCCACAGAGCATGAAGTCCAGGATCTCCTCCAGCTCACTGGTGGCGGCGGCACTTGTGATTCTGTACTCCTCGGCTTCACAGGGCTGCCCGAGTAGGGCTGTGTCAGATGCAAAGGGCTCCCCGCCATCAACAGCCACCCCAGGTTCCTTCCCTGCCAGCTCTGGACTGGACCCAACCTCGGACTTCACTACTGGGTGGTCTGGGGAGCGGCTGGCAGAAAGAATATCTTGTAGCCTAGGGCACACAAAGGAGTCTGGACACGGGTCTGTTCTAGCGGATGGCGTTTCCTGCCCCTTAGCTGAGGAGGGCCTAGTCCCTGGAGGCTCTTCTAAGTCACTGGGTTCTGGGACCTGAGGGCTGTCTTGAGGACTTTTGAGGGGAGGCTCTTGCACCACCTCCCAACACGTACCGTTGACAATTTTCCGAAGTTTCACTTTCCCAACGTGTCCTTCCTCTGCAGAGTCTGAGTTTGGTGCCCTGACTTGAGGGCTCTGCTTGTTGCTCCCACCCATCTTTCCAAGACCACACGGGCCTGGGGTGCTCTGTAGAGGACTCACTCTCTGTCGTTTCTGTTTGTCTTCTGGTGCTTCTTTATTTACACTTTTCTGCCGCCATAGACGCCGGCCAGGGGCTGTGGGTGCTGAGCTGGGTCCACTTAAAATGCTGGAAGGCTTTGATGTACAAACATCAGGAGATGGCTTTGAACGACTCAGCCTGATTTTTCTGGGCAATAGGCGCTCATTCACTGAAGGGTACAAGCTGGGTGGGGAAAGTGCCGTAGGACCAAGAGCAGGGTCACTTTTATTCTCTTTAGGTCCCTGACTGTGGCTCGACGGTGAGTTTTTTTCTTGAGTTCCGCAGACTCTGGCCTTCCTCTTGAGCAGAAGAGAGCCCGACCAGTTCTCTGCATTCTGTCGGTTGCTCTTCTCCTGAGGCCCTTCCTCCTTCCCCGAGGACTTCAATCTCACTGCTCCAGGAGGGCAGGGAATCTGGGTAACAGGCAGTGGAGTACAATGGCAGTGGCTGGATGCCACCACCCTGGCAGTGATTGGTGCGGCACCTGGAGGTTGGAAGCACTTCCGGTTCAGTCTTCGGCCCTGAGGAGGCTTCACCAACTTCCCACCCTCCAGCTGAAGGGATTCTAGCTCAGACACATGGAGCTGACGGGCAGCAGAAAGCACATCCTGGGCTTCCTCTTGAGATGCTTCCATCTCTGAGGTATACAGGAAGTCCACCAACTTCCTAAGTGTCTTCATCTTCAGCCCCTCTAGTTCCAGCACCACCTTCTGGCCTGGAGCTGGCCACTCCCGCTTCAGGCGCTCTGTGAAGAAGGGGCTGTAGGCTGACAGGATGCAGCAATGGGCTGGGATTGCCTCACCTACAGGGAGACCCAAACACTGTTACCTTAGCATGTTCATGGGCTGAGCACCGATGTTACTGCCCAAATGTGCTGCCCCTTCTCTCAGTTTTCCTCCATGGAAGTTCAGGTAGAGGAAAAATTTCTTCCTTCCGCCTGTTAGGAACCCACTAGTAGCTAGCTAACATTTTTTATCCTTCAAAATCTACTTCAGAC